ATATCTGTTTCTTTAATAAATTATTGAGATATTAGCAAATTTATGATGTACAAATTTTTATTTAAGTTTGTGTAAAGAATTTATGGAAAGAGTTTTTTTTTTATTAAATAGTCCTAGTTTTATAGAACCAAATTAGCAATTGTTTTAATAAATTTTTGAGAAAATAGCTTCTGAAACTATAACTTTCAAATTTTAGATGTTTATAAATATTTTCAAATCAAATCAAATATTTAATCTTTCAATTTAAATTTGATTTGATTTGAAAATCTATATTTGAATTTGATTTGAATCAAATTAAATCAAATCAAATCAAATACGAAACCCTATAGAAAACTTTAAAAAAAATTTAATAGTAAACCCTAATATTACACAAACTTTAAACTTTAATTAATTAAAGTTTTTTAATAATTTTAAAATTTTTTTCTTAACAAAGTTAATAAAGTAGATCTTTAAAAATATATTTACTTAGAAAGTATATTGTTAAAATTAATATTTAAGGTTTATTGAAAAATTAAAGTTTAAAAAAATAAACACAGTCAAATTTGTTTGTATTACAATTTAAGGAATATATTTAGGATTTTGCTCAAAAATTTTTACGATTTTATATATTGTAGCTATTGATATTGTATTTATCTAAATTGACCCAATGTATACTCTCTGAAGCATACTTAATATTTTAATGAAATTGTTATTTTTTTAAAAAAATGATTATAGATATGGTATCCGAAAGCAAACCATAAATAATATTTTTTCTGAAATAATAGTCTTAGAAAATTTGAATCAATACTATATCACATTACATAAATAATATAAAAATATATATAATTTTTTGCAATATAATCATTGAAATTTTCAAATGTATCGAGATTTACTAGTTGTCCAAAGTAAAGCAGAGAATACTCTGTTTTTACAAACATAGTAGACAAGTTTAAATTTGGATGATTGATATTGTGGCTTAGCCAATTTAATAAAAAAATTTTTTAATTTTTATATAGTTTAAAGTACTTCATATTCTTGTGATTTTTCGAAACTTATCAATTAAGTTCACTTCAAAAAAAAAAGCTTGAAAAAGATCTTTACTTGTCCTGTCTTATATTAAAATTAATCAAAAATAATCTTAATATTCAAAAAGTTTTATTTAGATAAAGTTTGTAAGAGATCTAAGGTAGTTAAACCTATAATTCAAATATATAAAGATATTTTAGTATCAAAATTAAAGACAAATATACAAAACTAGAATCTAGTACTTTTTAAAAAAAAACAAACCAAGTTCAACTAGTATTTATATAAAAAGCAGAATAAAAAGATAAATTAACTTGTTTTTATATATTTTAAATCTAAAGTTATATATTGTAGAGAAATAGATTATCTTCAATATGGTTCGTATAATGATTGTGACAATCGTAATGAATGTGATCTGTATAATGATCATGATGATCGAAACGAATGTAATGATTATGACAAATGTGATTTGTGTAATGATCGTAATGATCATAATGATCGTAATAAACGTGATGATTGTGAACTATAATTAAAGAGATTCTAACTATTGTATAAGTATTAGATAATTATGTGGTAATTGCAGGATCAAGCATAATCACAAGACAAATGAGTTAGAGTAGCAACATTATAAATGTAGTCATAATATGTATTAGTAAAAGCAATATAAATATAAAGAAAAAGAATAAATAAAATATTTACCTTTGCTTCACAATCTTGATATCGTATTATATTTGGTAGCAGTAGGTAAAAAAATACTTTAAGAATAAAACCAAATTATATATAAAAAAAAATTTTTTTTTTTTTAGAAAAATGCCAGAAGAACAAGAAATATCATCCAACTTTTTCGTACTATTTGAAAGGTTTATACATAATCAAAACTAGTTGAATTAGTATATTGTAACTATGGCATAGCATCAACAAGAAACAAGAGATGCAATAAGAGGACTTACTATAAAAACAACTAGTGAACTAGAAGAATCTAATAACATAGCATCAAAAGGTCTCACAGTACAATTTCCGGTTTTCTAAAATAAAGACAATAAAAATATTTTAATATGGCTACTACAGGTTGACCTCCTTTTTAAGGCTTATAGAGTAAAAGATGAAAAGAGATTACAGTATATTATAATAGTATTAAAAGATACCACGTTACAGTGATATCTAAATTAGATTCAGACTCATTATAAAAAAAGTCTTTTAGAAAATTGGACATCGTTTATGGAAGAAATTAAAACTACTTTCTAGTCCCCACACTATTAACAACTCTTATAATAGCAGTTAAGGGACCTTAGACAAATATTATCAGTTCAAGAGTATGTATCATATTTTAAAAATCTGTTGGGACAGATCGAGAAGATGCATGAAGCCAATAAAGTGATATATTTTACAGAGAGACTGAAAGAAGCCACAAAAGCTAAAGTCAACTATCAGGCTCTTAAAATATTAGACGAAGCTGTAAAGCTTGCTATTAGTTAGAAGGCTTCCAGAAATCAGCTGATTAGGGTTTACTAATAAATCATTCGAACCCACCCACCCCCTCACCTGCTAGCCAATTAGATTTTTTTTATTTTTTTTTTCAGTGATCCTTCCTTTATTATTTATTTAGGTATAGAATACAACAACATATATTTGTATAGTTTTAGCAGCTAAACTACATTATAATCTATATAAGCAGTACTAATAAAAAATCACTCAATCTATTAAACAGAAATTCTGCAAAAAAGACCCAGGTGCGACTCGCCTAAGTGGTTCATCTTTACCTTGTCTGGGATTCCCAACTTCCTGAGAATTTATATCCTGAGAGTCTATAGTAGGTGCTCACCGACCTTGTCAGAATCACTGCCCTATATAACATATCACCAATCTGAAAAAAAATTCCCTAAAAAAAAACAAAAA